ACCACTTTGACAATACGTGTTAACCACAAATAAGTATTGGAATTAACCAAAAAAATACGAAATGTCACTTTGATATTACGGATTAATCAAAAGCAACAAACGTCACTTTGACATTTCAAATTATTAAAAAAAAAATGAACAGAACTCTGCAATTACCAAATTAACACGTGTAATCATCAAAATTATCAAAGGATTTTACTGTTTACAATGCGCTAATTGCTTTCGTGCCAAATTGAAATCGAATCTATATGCGCGTGTGTACACGCCGAGTGTTTCAATCGATTCAATCGTAATGAATTAAGTTTCGCAGTTAGAACATGTTTCAAGGCCGTCTCGAAAATCCATTTAATCTTATCGAACGAATTACATAGATTCCTACACAAAGTCAATAAAAAAAATAATTAAAAAAAAAAGAAAATCCAATTTTTTCGCATCGTCTGCAAAAATCAAGGTATGCAAATCGTTTTTAATCGATTTAATTATACACGACGACGAAAATTACGGTTTTCATCCCAAGCAACGGTTCGAGATTATCGAGTGGAACCTTCCGACCCGAGCCAAGAAGAAGAAGAAGAAAGAACCTGTTCTTTTATTTTTTTCCCGCCCCTTCGTGGTCGTCGTCGGTTGTTTCGGGCGATCTCCGGTTACCTCGCAACCCATCATTTGTTTGTTTGTTTATTTGTTTGCACTTGATAAATCGGCCTTCCTTCCCGTGTGTTTGCTTTTCGAATTTAACGACCGACTGTTTCGCAATTGTGAAAAATGCGAAGAAAAACAAAAACGCAGGTGCAATCAGCTCGAAACGACCTCAATATTAACAGGAATTACCTTAAGAGAATCTCCTAAGTAATTTACAAAATGCAAGAGAAACGAACAAAAGAAATGTGTTTTTTATAAATGTAAATGACGTAAATTAATTGAAACCGTGCAACGTCTAAAATTGGAAGTTTACTTATGTTGAGCGTAGGCGTTGGGGGAAAAAGCGCGAGAACAACAAGAAATTATTCATTATTATTTATTTTCGCTCCTCGGGCATTGCGATTTACGGCTTTCGTTATTTCTGCACGTTCAACTGCTTTTCAAATGTTCGCGCTGAACTCATTATGCACTTGTTTTTGTTTCCACCGGCGATTCGAAAAATGAAACATCAACTGTTTCTCAAAAAACGTCTAGATCAAAATATCGAAATTATACATGTTTTTCAAATATTTTATTACAAATTCAAAAGGTTTATTCACGATTTTTCATTAGATGGCTTTGATGTGTTTTTGTAAGAACAATTGAATAACTTGTTTTTGAATTGTCTGCGATCCAAGTGTGTACGTGTAATGTGTTTTTGTAGGCGTTTTAATGGAAATAATGGAACAATGATTTGAATATGAAGAAACAAGCACACTTTGATTATCACGTATCGTTATCGATTTCGTCGCATGAATATTCAAAGAAGTTTTTTTTTTGTTTTTGTTATTAACGAAATGGGAGCGTGTAATCGCGTCGGCGGCTGAAACAAAAGAACGTCAAATTTTCGTTGCTTTAACAAAAGAAAAACAAAATATAGACAAAAACAAAAGTTACATGACGATTGTGAATGGTTAGGTCATACGTTGATCTTGGGATGCGGATACCTAACCTATTAATGTTTTAATAGCCTGCGCGCAATTATTATTACAGTCGATTCAACTGAGTTTACATAAATAAATGCGATTGCTGTGGAAACGAAAAACAAAAGGCAAAAAGCGATTTTAGTGGTAATAAAACAAGCGATAGTCTCGTCAATTTTCCACGAATGATTCCGATAATCCTTTATCGAATAAAGAAGAGGAGGCTACTCTTCCATACGGCTTTTGTTTCTCTTTGTCTCTGTTCCCAGAGGCATCTCGATTGAACCGAACAACTAATTGCGTTTACAAATTGGAGAACTGTGAGCCGGAACGGACTTTACTCGAAAGGAGAGTTCACATGCCGTTTGCGAGTCTTCACGATATGTTCGGTGCTTAACCTAATTTCGTGAAGGAAACGACTGAGACGGTTGTAGTGAGTGCACGAGCGACGAAGAGAAAGACAGAGTAGTAGTTTTAATTGAAGCGAAATAAAAGACCGGAATTCGTAGAAACTCGAGCGCAATTGTCGAAGTTGCTCTCTTCTTCGGAATGAGGAAACGCGTCAATTTGCGTCGTTTTGAAGGAAATGCTTCAATTGCAATCCACTTGATGATGACTCGACTCGATAGTTGTTTTGAAACTGCATAAAAATTAGCTTTGCAAAAATGATAACGGTTTTATTTCACTTTTCATAGATTTGCCAGAAAACCACTTAATACAATTGTAAATTTAAGTTGACAATGAAAAACAAAATATTTAATAAATTGACAATAATATAATGTAACTTGTCAATTTGACATTTAGTAAATGTCACTTGTCAATTAGTTTATGCCATTTATCAACAATTTTGGACTTATTTCAAACTTATACTTCGAGATTAATTATTGAAATGAAATAGTAAAATTAATATGTTACTGATATACTAAAAATTTGTGTAAACATTTTAGAAAGTTCTGTTAAATATATTTCAAATATTTGAAATTTCAACGGTAATTTTATGAAATCATTAAGAAAATTGTATTAAATCAAGTTGACAATGAATAATAAATTAACAAAAGAAGTATCTAATAAATTGACAATATTATAATGTCACCTGTCAATTTGACATTTAGTAAATGTCACTTGTCAATTAGTTTATGCCATTTATTAACAATTTTGGACTAATTTCAAACTTATACTTCAAGATTAATTATTGAAATGAAATTGTAAAATTAATATGTTACTGATAAACTAGAAATTTGTGTAAACAATTTAGAAAGTTGAGTTAAATACATTTCAAATATTTGAAATTCCAACGGTAATTTTATGAAATCATTAAGAAAATTGTATTAAATCAAGTTGACAATGAAAAATAAATGAAAAAAACAAAATATCTAATAAATTGACAATAGTATAATGTCACCTGTCAATTTGACATTTAGTAAATGTCACTTGTCAATTAGTTTATGCCACTTATTAACAATTTTGAACTAATTTCAAACTTCAAGATTAATTATTGAAATGAAATTGTAAAATTAAATTTATATATGAAAAAAATTATCAAGAACAAAATGTAATGATAATCAGTCGGAAACGTTGCATCATGAATCATCGTGTATCATTTCGGTACGGAATATACGCATTGCAAAAAAAAATTGTTTCTGAAATTCTTTAGTTTATGACAAAAAAAAACTGTTTAAATCGATTTCGATGTGCAAATACTTAAATAATTGATTTGAAAGAGGAAACGCATTGATTTTCGTGCTCAATTTTCGGTTGGTTTAGATTTGGAGAAAACAAAAAAAATGTTTAGTGATGAGCCACCAATGGTTAATGCGGGCATGGCCTATCTGATCAATACAACCAATAGAATTGTTAAGGACGAAAAAAAAGCTGGAGATAACCGATCCCTCGTTTAGCATTTAGCGTTGTGATTTGCAGCTGCAACTGCTGATTTTTATCATCGACACGCAAAAACGTTTTCCTATTGAAATCGACCAAAATTTCTATTACTTTCTTATCTTGTTATATTTCTTTCTTTTCGTGGTCCAATAAGAATTGTTTAAACCTTCATAGCAACCTGTGATTCGTCGTTGTCAATCAGACACAGCCCCCTTTTAAAAACCATTATAAAAACAAACGCTGCCATTTCTCATATTGTTTATGGTTTTAATCAAATATTTTTTTATGTTTATGCTCAAAAATCTAGCAATTGACGTTACAAATCTTAATCAAAGAAACAAAATTAAAAGGTCAGCGACCTCCAACATTTCTTTGCCTCTCTCTCTCCAGTCTCTCGCATTTCATAAGAGACCAAAAAAAAAACATTTTATTTTTTTATCAATGAAGAAACACGCTTTCGTCGCTCGTTGACCCTTCTTCGCACAACCGAAACGAACCACCCGTATTTATTGTGCCGCAACAATTCCAGAGATTACCATAAACGTACGAACTCTTAACAAATCATCCCATTCAGAAAAAAAGATTCATCGACAATATGAAGAAGATTCACATCCGTTTCAGATTTATCTATCTGTTTATAGAAAAAATTAACTACATCTTTTGTTCGAGCGCGCGTTTGGGAAATCATGAAGCGATTGCGTGAGTTTCCTGGTACGGCAAACGAATTAAGTTAGACGAGACTAATTGATCGTTCAATTAACTTAATCTCGCTGCAGTAAGTGTGTCGAGTATTTGATTGCGAGGTAATTTGATAGCGTAAATGTTTCAGTTTTTATTTGTTCCTTTCAAATTCTCAATAATTTCACAATTAATCAATGTCAATAATTTGGCAATTAATCAATGACACATGTCAATAATTTGACAATTAATCAATGACACGTGTCAATAATTTGACAATTAATCAAAGACACATGTTAATAATTTGATAATTAATCAATGTTAACATGTTAATAATTTGATAATTAATCAAAGACACATGTTAATAATTTGACAATTAATCAATGTCAACATGTCAATAATTTGACAATTAATCAATGACACATGTCAATAATTTACAATTAATCAATGATTCAATAATTTGCACAATTATCAATGCAACATGTCAATAATTTGGCAATTAATCAATGACACATGTCAATAATTTGATAATTAATCAATGACACATGTCAATAATTTGATAATTAATCAATGACACATTCATTAATTTGATAATTATCAATGACACATGTCAATAATTTGATAATTAATCAATGACACATTCATTAATTTGAAATTCATCAATGACACATGTCATTAATTTGACAATTAATCAATAACACATGTCAATAATTTGACAATTAATCAAGACACATGTCTAATAATTTGATAATTAATCAATGACACATGTCAATAATTTGACAATTAATCAATAACACATGTCAACTATTTAATTGTCACTTGATTAACGTCATCGCGTTGATGTTTCAGATTGTCGTGTTGGAGATCATCAGATGCCGAAAGGACAACGGCAGCAAAGTGGTGGTGTGGGGAAGGAAAGTTCCGAACGTCCTGTGGCAGATCTACTGCTCGGCGGCGTTCTTACTCCTCGGAATGGCCTTCTCGCAACTGAGCACCGACATCATCAAGTATATGGTTGGAAGACTGAGACCGCACTTCTACACGGTCTGTCAGCCGGTCTTCGGTAACGGCATGACCTGCGAGAAGATCGACAAGAACTTCCACAGGTACGTGGAGGACTACCGGTGCACCGGCGGCACGGAACGTCAACTGAAGGAGATGCGACTGTCGTTCCCGTCCGGTCACAGTTCGTTCTCCATGTACACGATGCTCTACTTCGCGCTCTACCTGCAGGCCAGATGGCATTCCTGCAGCAACACGAAGATCCTGAAGCACGCCGTTCAGTTCTTGGCGGTCCTCTCGTCAGTCGCCGTCGCGATGAGCCGGATATCCGATTACAAACATCACTGGTCGGACGTTCTCGGTGGTCTCACCCTCGGCGCCACCGTCGCCATCATCACCGTAAGTACACACCGCCTTATTTGTTATCAAACAACCTAAACTCCATGGCAACGACATACCTATGTTTTTCCAGGCTTTCATATCCGGTCTCCTACGAATTAGGCGAGCAGGCTATAAGGAAGTT